TAGATTGACTAGGAAATGATTGTTCTGTCTGTTTCATACTTAAACTGCAACATAGCGCGGTATTGAGAGGCTGACTTTTTTTGAGAAGGGTGTTGTGCCATTTGACTACCTCGTGCTCAGTGACTAAAAGCAAGTTTTAAAAAGTTCACTTTCTAAGGACACCAGTGAAGTGTGCACATAGACCTGAAGCTGAATCTTAGAAAAAGAAAGGTCTTGTGCATTGAGTTCTTTCTTGTTCCTTACTGGGAGACTTAGAAACAGCAGAACTAAGTAGTTGTGCATGTATAGTAGTATAATGTGTGCATGCATCTTTATCTCTTCATTAAAGCAGAGTAGGGATATCAAATTTTTTGGACTGCCTCACTGCCAGTATTTGTTTAACCAAGCCTTGCATATTAAATTATTAATATTTTAATCTAAATTTATGTGTCTTTGTGTTTCCAGGACAATTCTGTGATTAAAAATAAATGAATAAGCTGCAGGTAGATAGCAAGAAAACTAGAAATAATGCAACTTATCCCAAATCCTTGCTTCCTTCCTTTCCTTTCATGCCTTGATTTATTTTTTTTTTTATATCTTGATTTTTTTCATTTTTCTAAGTCTCAAAAACTTACGATGTAGGGTTGAATTGTTTGAAGCTATGATACGTGACCTGCTGTCACTGAAAAGGAAAGATCCTTTTCATGATGTTATTGTTCTTTGCTTTTGCAAAGCAAAGACTGATAAGCAGTTTCAGTTTACTAAACTGGCAACAAACTAACAAGACAAAACTAGTGAATTGTTTTCTGTGGGGTTAGTTGAATCAGTTCAGTGTGGAGGATCCGATGAACATCAGATACCACCCTCAGAAGAATTCTGTTGATTTTTTTTTTTTAATTCTTTTGGACATCACAGTAACATTAATCTGGTGAACATCGAGTGCTGTCAGAAGTTAAGCAGTCTCTTTATCTTTCTGATCTTGATTAGAATTCTAAAAGCTGTATTTAATTGTATCTAATTTTTTTACTGATTACCGGAATGTGTTTAGAGATGGAATTATTAAATGTACAAACTGTAGTGTTCTTATCAAAATAATAAAAAAAGGCAAAAAAGAAAGCTTTTCCAGCTTCCACGAACCAAGAAAAAAAATGGGATACATTTTTTATGACACTGTATACAGAGATACAGGTATGACCTAACTGAAAGCTTGAGTCTGAGTTTAGACTATAGGGGGCTTATTTTCATTTCATTGCATCTTCAGTCAGTTTTAAATGTGAAAATGGTGAAATCATTAATGCTAATGCCAGGTTATTTTAAATGTTCCAGTCTTTAGGGAAGCAATTTGTATTTTTAAATGTGTTCTGGAGTCATCTCACAGCTTCAGTTAGGGGCTAGGGATATCCTTGTTGTTTCTTCCTCTCTCTCCATTAGCTGAAAACATGAAGGCAGTGTGAATTTGGTAAAAAGGCAAGGAGCCAAAGGGTTTGTAGGGCTGTTGAAAGTTTGCCTGACCTGTAAGATACTTGAGGTTATAAGAAGTAAATTATTTATGAGTTCAAAAAGTATTATTTATTTATACTGTAAATATTGTTTGTGTTCAAAAAAAAATAGAGTTTCTGATGAAACTGTATTTTCTGTAACGCTGTCCACAATCTTTAGTCATGGCCCATTAACCTATTTTTCTGGAGGTTTTACTAGGATCACTTTTAATCCAACAGTGTTAAATTTTCTTGCTAGTGAGATGAAAGACAATCTAAAATCAGTGGTGACAGATATGTATGGGATTGATATGGTCAAATTACTAACAAAGAAGGATCTAAACAGCTTGTGAAGATTGCAGTCAGTATAATTATTTTATGCATATATTAAAAGATTAAAAACCCCTTGAAATTAAATGTAATACTGAATAAAATGGTTTTGTTGATGAAAATGAGCTAATTGATTTCTGAAAAGCAAATAAGCAAGGAATCCTTGTGTTTCTGTCTCTTATAGAGGAGAATTGGGAAA